ATAACGACATACTGCTTGAAATGGTGCCAATGGTCCACTACCATCAATGTCAATTGTTGTTAAACGTTCAGGTATAACTTCATCTATTTTCATACGATTCAATTTAAAATCAAGACAAGATAATGGTTGATCACTTGTATGACAAACGGCACCACTATAGCCAGTTTTAGAGCAATCACAACGAAAACGGGTCCACGTCTAAAATACAGCAAATTTAATTAAATAGAAGGTAAGCATTCTTTACGACATCAAAAAATGTTGATCAGTTATTCAAATACCTGTTGACATTCTCCTCCATGACGACAAGGATTTGGTGTACAACGATCAAACATTTCGCATGCATCTACCAATACACCATTGTTAATAACAGTATTCACTCTTGGTCTATTATCGTTTGATACAACGGTTAAATTAACAACTAAATCACGTGGAATTATTTGTACACCACCCATAAACAACGTGCGAATACAACCAACAAAACCGTTCATCGTTGCATCTCTATTCGTACGATCACCATTTGAACTAATTGTAAAACGATCACTTGTTGAGAGATTATTACGCGTAACAGAAAATTCTGGTTCATAATCAACTGTTATGTTAAAACGTGTTTGTGTCAATAAAAGACTGATATCATGCCATTGGCCATCGTTTAAATTACCTAAAATCAACGATAAAAATTCTATCCTTCTATCATTGGTGATAAAAAAGTAGCTATTAACCTTTTCGATGCCATAGTGTACGCTTATTGTCATTAATTTGAAGTGTTGTGGCTAATTGTCCTTCATCGAGATACATCTGAAGAAAAATAAACAAAATATCAATAACTAAATTACTATGAGCACTTCACAGATACATACTCGTAGAAAATCTTGCTCATTAATATAGTTAATACCAACTTGTTGTATACGAACATCGGATAAATTTGTAAAAAATAATACACCATTCGGTTCAAATGTACGCATTTGAAAGCTAATATCAATTGAGGATGCGCCCGGTTTACGAATTATTTCCAAATATGAATCAAAATTTTTGAATGTAAACGAATACAAATTCAAATTCTAGAAGAAAATACTTACAATAATATGCAAGATCTAGTTCAAACACAAAATGAGAACATGCATAGTCATGCAGTTTAGTAAAAGCGTTTTTAAACTTTGTACAACAAATAACAAAAAAAAAGAACAAGAAAAACATTGATATTCATTCTTTCGACCGCAGCACGAGCATGCCTCTAGATTGTTCAGAGACTCACGTTAAAATCTTATACATTTTACCTAAAAACATATATACTTAAGTTTATGAAAATCGATATGTATTAACGCAGTTTTTTTTTTTTTGAAACAAAAAGCTGATTTATATACTCAACATATCAAAATAAGTACTTACGTCACAATTTGCTGATAAACCTCCTTGTTCCACTCCATAAAAAACTATTTGCTGTTGTATATTACCTACAAAAAAGTAAAAAAGAAAGTCAAAGATACTAAAGAGAACAGATGCAAAAAAAAGCTTTATATTACGTAGAATATCCATAACAGCATTTGTCGATGGTGATACATAAAATACGTTTTCCATACAACCTTGAAAATTGGGTCTTACAAAAATACCCCGTTCCATATGATTCGGTGCTCCGCCAACGTACATCTGAAGATCATATTTAGAGTAGAGAAAATATCACAGTACGCTTGTTTTTTAACATACTTTTCCATCAATATCTAATCCATTGAATGCACTTTGTGACATTTCTTGAACAAACGTCTGATCAATTTTAACACTAATATTTTTCATATATCGTATAACAGCCACATCATGCCATTGAAAATCATCTAATAAACTACCCGCTTTGATAAGCGTACTTCCAGGACGGCCAGGCATTGAACCTTTAAAACAAAACAAAAGCAATTTATTAATCAGAAACAATACAAAAATGTGTAAGAATGTGTACCTAAATCGACTCCAACGTAAATGCTTCCATTTCTTAATTCAACACTCAAATAATCATTATTTTGTGTTCCTTTAGCATAAAATAAAAGTCCATTAGGAAAATTTGTCTTAAAACGCAAACGTAATTCATCTTGACGATTATGTAATGGTTTATAGGTAGCATCATAGTAGGCGATTGTTTGACCATCAAACGTATACGTTACAGGATCTATAAATAAAGGAAATTGTTGGTAAACATGCACAGCAAGATATTTGATATTCAACAAAATTAAAAGATATAGCAAGTTGGAATTTTAAAATTTTCTAAGCGTCAGTATACAATAGCGCTATTTGAACTGTACTATTGAAAAGAGCAAAAAACATTCTGGTAAAAAACAAGTGATTCAAATGATAATAAACACTATTTCGAAATTTTAAGACCGAATTCTTGAACACTTTTTTTGCCAGAATTTTTTAACTTGAAGTATTGAACAAAATTTAAACCTCGAAGCGTTTTTACATTCTAGCCTTAAAAATGATACGTTCTTCTTCTAAATAAGAGGTTCGCGAGATTTATAGATACAAAGTATTACAGAATTAGACTACTTGTCTTTAAATCCAACATATTTCAAGTATTCTGTTTGATAGAAAATAGTGATGTGAAACACATGACAATACGTCTACAACACCAGCGCATTAAACTAAACATCTTGTCTGACTAATTTGTTTCATAATTGTGTCCAGTACTGAACTACTTTAAACATACCAAATACACATCCATAAACTTCCACACGCATCGATATGAAATTCTTCCATTGTCTTGGATTAAATCGAATAAATTGGGCAACGACAGGATCTTTTAAGGAATTTGTTACAATTCCATTATCATTTTTGTTTCCAACAAAATTCTAAATAAGATTCACATTGAAAAGCGTAAATACATCTACTATAGTTAACAAACCACAATAATTTTGTCTTCATTTGTGTAGTAAAACCAGTTATGGGCATTGTCACTATACATAATATTGAAGATGTTCACATACTCCTTGGCTGCTCTGCGACCTTGTGTAGCGATGCCAGTAACAACAAAACGCCGACCAAGATCAACATATAAATACTGATCGGCATCCATATAGGCCGGACGCCATGCTAGAAAAAGTAAACAGTGAGTCAACATCTCTCTAACTAAATGGAACTTTCTTCGTACCATAACGTCCATTTAAACGAGCCGTATAAGGCTCTCGACCTTGTACGAAACTACTTGCAGCGAACGCTGAGTTCGGTATCCCACCTGATTCAATACCAACTGCTGTAGGATTGGGACATGGGTTATATGTTACTACAGCAGCACCAACTAATCAAATGAAAAAAACATGTTAATATGAACTCGACAGAACGATTTTTTCGCTACACTTACTTTTTTCACAATAGAAAATTAAACAAACGAACACAAATAATGAATAAATGGGAAGATCAACACGGAAGTTCGGCATGAAAAAAATTATTTTATACTACAGTTCACAAAGAAATTTAACTAAAAAGCTCAGGAGTCAACATATCTACAAATAAGCCAAATGCCAAAACATATAGAGCAAGAGATACAATTTTAAGTAGCTCTTAAACTTGAATGAGCACTTAAGTTGTGTCTAAACTAATCTGAACTAAGAATTCACTGAATTCTCGGTGTTTCATCGAAAATCTTAAGTGTCGATTTTACTGCGTTTTAACATCATGGGACGTAATATTACATTAAGCACTGACTTGACACATCCGAGTTGTCTCAATTAATACTCTAAAACAACACACTAAAACAAACTAAACGTTCATTGAAGTCTGTGCTCGAGTGCACAAACTTAAGAATATTGACCAAACATCCTTCAAATTTAGTAAACAGTGTTTTTTCCGAAGTTCAATAAAACAGTTGAACTGAAAATTTTCGATTCGTAAATGAGTCACCTGTGTTAGGGATTCATTCCGATCTTCCATAACTATTCAATCTCTTACCGGCCAAAACAAAGAAAGCTTTAAGCTTCTATTGATCTTTATTGAGAGCTTTCATCGATTAGTTAGATGTAGATTACTAGATCTCACTTAAGTTCGAGAACTGATTACATTGATAGTAGCGATAGATGACGGAATACCTTCTGAATATTCTAACGTCGTTGAACGCTTGTACTAAAATATTTTCTAATCGGGAGGAAAGCTTATTAGATCTCATTACTCATTTCTCTAAAACGAACGCATGAAGATTGAGCGATTTTCTAATTTGTCACTTTTTCTCTCTTTCTTTGAGAATGGATAAAAGTTGGATATCGTTCAAGTAAGTTTCAACTCAATTCGATTAAATTTCAACACAGCGTACATAATAAAACAAAGTAGTTATGCTTGTCGATTCATTTATTATACTTATGTTTATATATGAAGTTATTTCAAGCTAACTGTGTTCTTGAAGATTCCGATTCTAGGAGGGTGTTTCCTAAAAATTCTTACGTGCTCGACATAACTAAGTCTAGACTTAAGTCGTCGTTTTGTACACTTACGTGTTAATTTTATACAGTTAAGTCTAGACTTAGTTATGTCGAGCACTCAAGAATTTTTAGGAAACACCCTCCAGGCAAAGAGTTCGATAATCTTATTATCAATGCAAATTTAGAGTTAGATTATTTCAAATTCTTGAGAAAAAATTACTTTGACATTTTGTTATTTAGATTAACTCTGATGAATGAAAATTTGACCTACTAGTGTCAGGCATTTAATCTTAAAAGACTAGTTCACGACTTACGTACATTACTTCTTCTATCATAGAGTTTGGTGTAAGAAGAGGGTCTTCGCTACAAGTGTTCGTCATTTTTAGGACATAAAACTTTTTCCTACGGCAGAAAAGAAGAATGGATTGCTATTCAACATTTGAGCAACAGAAAAGGAATACTCTTACTATTCTATATGCTACTTACTTTAGAATAGAATATACTTCTATATTCTTCGAAGCATTGAGAGATTAGAAACTTACAGTTGTCATTATTTTTTAGATATTCTCATCTTTGTATACTTTTTCTCTATTAAATAAATTCTCAACAATGTCAGAAGGTGAAGTTAACCCAAAAGCCTACCCGCTGGCTGATCCAAAATTGACGAAAGATATTCTTGATCTGGTAAATCAGGCGTTAAATTATCGACAATTACGTAAAGGTGCAAATGAAGCAACAAAAACATTAAATCGTGGGAAATCAGAAGTTATTAGTAAGCATTAAAATCCTAGTTGTAATCTATTCATTAAGACAAAACATTATTTTTTCTCTTCGTTTAGTAATGGCAGCCGATACACAACCAATTGAAATATTAATGCATTTACCATTACTTTGCGAAGATAAAAATGTTCCCTATGTTTTTATTAGATCAAAACAAGCACTTGGTCGCGCATGTGGTGTTACTCGTCCAGTCATCGCTGCATCGATCACAGTCAGTGAAGGTAGTCAATTGAAACAACAAATAATAACATTAAAACAAAATATCGATAAATTGTTCACATAGATGAGAAATGACAACTGGAAACAGGTGGCGGTTTTTGCGTATGTCTGTGAGCGCTCGTTAAGAGCATGTTGTTTTGTTGTATTTTCCTTTCTCTTGCTGTACTTTCATAATAATAAATAAATAAATAGAAGTGTGGTAGCGTTGAGCATATCCACAAAAAATATACTCAAATGATCGAAGTTCTTCCGTTAAGGCTACGCAACGGATGATAAAATTTTTAAATAGAGACTCAGTTGAGACATATTGTTATCATCAGAAATGAATATCGGAGATATGGCATAAACATCCCGTTCAAGTTTTCAAAACAACATTCTAAGAAAGCTAAGATATTTACTATGATTGAAAAGCAGTGATTTATCTAGCTAGCGGGCCGAGTAGGCGACGCCCCATCGGAAATTATCAACATAGAGAAAAGCTTCACACAGCAGGTATCGCGAAACATTCATTCGCTCCTCCTGAAAATGAAACCTAGATGAAACACTTGAAAAGCAATCCGCAGGTAGAGGTATTAGCCGTGCCGCTATATATCAAAGATTTTTAGCGAAAAACTGTCGTCGATCAAAAGAGTTAATTCAAAGATTTTTTGAAAACAGAAAAAGTAATAGAGACCTACTGGCCCCTGTTTCTTAAAAAAACTTAAGTAGAAAATCTTACTTAAGTCAAAAAAAACAAAGACTTTTTTGGACTTAAGTCAGATTTTCTACTTAAGTTTTTTTAAGAAACAGGCCCCTGATCCCACCGGTTGAAAGCCAGCATCTCGTTGCATTTGCTCGTAGTGAAAATCATTCCAAACATCTTTTTCAAAAGTAGATTTTTCTTAGATTGGAACAAGTATTTGCTGTAGTTGATCGCGCTGGTGTTTGTAAATAATATATTGAATATGTTTGTTTTAATTCACGATTATTAAAGAAAAAGAAGCTTAAAATATAAATGTTTTAAAGTTATGTATAGTTAGCTTAACTCTCAGCTTCAGTCGTTTAGGCCTTACATCAGATTTCCTGGTTATCGTAGAACTGATGTGAGATGACTTGTGTAACCTCAAAAACAACTAGAACACTGGTTATCAATCAGTATTTGACCCATGACAATGTGTGTCTCCAAGCTATTTTCTTTGAACTTATCGTACTTGTAGATTTATTAACGTGTAAAGCAATTAGAGTGAGAGTCCATTCTGTTCTCGGAAAACCTACTTTTGAAAAAGATGTTTGAAATGTCTTCCAGTACGGACAGATGCAACCAGGTACTGATTTTCAACTGATGGAATCAGTAGGTCCCTATCACTTTCCTGTCAAACAGTATTTAAAAAATATTTGAGTCCATTTTTCTTGCCGACCGCAGTTTTTCGCTAAAACTCTTTGATACATAGCGGCACGGCTAATACCTGCTCTATTTAAAAGAAATTTACTAATTCAAAAAGTCTGATCTTTGAGTTTTTCACTCATTTTATCACGAGGTCACATGCACCTTTTGATTCTGAATGATGTAAAGTTTATGCGATCTTTGGTGAATACATAGTTTACTAGCATCATTAAAAATCAGAATTACAACAACAGTTTAAATACTAATAGCTTCACACTAGAGATTTTTCGCTTATATCTGTATTAGACACAATGATTTTTCATACTAAGAAAAGCTGTAAGTCAGCTAAATGTATCTACAGCCTCACTACACATTTTTCTTGAGTTTTTTTCCAGATCACCTGAACTATAAAACGTGAAGGAAGAACGCATATTTTTTATTGTTTACAGTTACCAATTCACAACAAACATTGTTAAAGTAAAAGCAAATATACACCATATGCAAATACAGTATTATTTAATTAAATTTTGTACTATTGGTGACCAGTAGTTTTGAAGATTTCATGTATAGAACAATTTTTTTAACAAATTCACGTAATAACATTATGACAATGACACGTGTTTTATTTCATTTCGCTATGCGATATCTATGAAACAATCGAACTCATCCTTAGATTTTTTAAAAACAATCTGGTCATTGATACGTCGTTTATATATTTGCTTCACGAAACTTTATTATTGATCAAATAACATCCATTTCAAGATTTAACAGTTAAACTGGAAGTCAAGATGATAAAGGTAATGAAAAAGTGTGATTAGAACTGACAAGACCCAAAATACACTTTTTCTCTATAACTGAATACACATTGTTTCTTTGGTTCAAACCTGATTGGAAACTTCAGCGCTCTATTTTAAAATATCTTCTGCACAAAATAATTTTTGTTTTGTACAATTTTGAATGTAATACTGAAAAAGAAATAGCCTCAATACAACAAAAACTAAGCTAATTTTCTAATGAAGATGCAAGTAAAAAAAGAATTAGTACATAGCGATGCTTATTTCTATTCAGCGATATGTTCTGTTTGCCATAGATACCAGTCAGTAAGAGGACACCTCCTATATCCCGATCGGGATATAGAAAAAAATTAATATCCCGATCGGGGTATAAAACACAAAATTTCGTCGTAGAAACGATTAAGGGAAAAATGAGGACGTTATGGGAAAAAATTGACCGCACCCATTAGAAAGAGCTCGAAAAACTACATCGGATTCTGTTGTGTTTGATTAAAAGTGTATCAGGCACCCAGCAACTATTCTTTTTGGAATAAAAATCATAAAATTTATCAATCTTTAGTCGAATTTATATCCCGATCGGGAAATAGGAGGTTAACCATTCTATTACTTAGAATGGGATATACTCTTGATATAATCGCTTTCCACACCGACTAGAGTCCTGCGGGTCTGAGATTTTTGAACCCGATCCGATCTCGTAGATTTGAAATCCGAACCCGCTAGAAGTTTTTCGGGATCTCGATTCCGATTTGGTCAAACGAAACCCGTCTCAAACTCGAAAATTGTTTTTCAGTAAAGTAGTGCCCTCTTTCATTTGTGCATTAGTAAATCTCAACATCTAGAGGTAGGTTATTAAAACGTTTCGATACACAAATATCGATGAATAAAAGCACTGGAAAGCGAAAACAGTCAGATGAAAATGATGAGCATGGGCAATTAACAGCCAAGAAGCAGGAACACTATCAAAGCGATACAGTCTATCGGCCATTGATCTGAAAAACGCTTAGATCGCGAGATATAAATTTGCCGTACAAGGAGAGAAAAATTTTAAATTTAAAAGATCCCGTTAGTTGGAAAAGTTTTGTCGTTTAAACCTTAA